GAGCAAAAGAGAGAAATTCTTTGGCAAAGGACGCAAATTCAATCCGCGATCCTGGGTTTTTTGCAACCAATTGTACTCTTTAAAGATTTGGATTGATTAAGCAATTAAGTCTGCTAAAAGAATCAGAAAGCATTTTAATGTGTCGTTAAATCAAAACCAGAGTAATCATATCAGATAATCAGAGCAAAAGGAAGTATTTAAAGGAGCTGATGGGAACTCAAAGTAGAAACAAACACACTGCCTAAAGTTCGGCAAAACGCGAGTTACCAAATTGCGATTCGTTCTAGGTTTTGAATCTGATTGATTAAGAAGTTTGTACGAGTTTTCTGAACCAATCGAATGGTAAAGCGAAGAAAAACCAAAACAGTCTCGCATTACTTTCAATACTTAGTTGAAAAGTGCTCGATATCGTGGTGAACTCTGAGTTATTCCGTCGCGTAAAACATCTTTTCACTATGCTTTGGAAAGATAACAATGTTGAGAATGGTGACTGAGTCTCATTGGAGGTGGCCAAAAGGAAGATCTCAGGGAATTGATATCAAATCGCACGTCGAAAAGCCCTTGATTTTCACATTCAGTCTCCTAAATGTTTGTGAGGTGATTGCTAGAGTTATAAGTATTTCGAGATAAATTGGTAAAAGACCCTTGGAATACCACCCCTCTCCCCGTTAATCGCTCCTCTCCCATCCCCTACTCATAAGTATTTCATTGTTCTCGAATACGATGAACTAAGGCGTGACCTGGCAACAGTCCACAGATCACGGAAACTTTCTGGTTGAAGACTCGTGCATGTAACATTGTGTAAGGAGAGGGTTCTGACCTATTAGCTGTGATTCAACATGGCGGAACGGGTTCGAAACCAAAGAAAAGCGAATTATCAAGACTATGAATTCCGTTTCCTGTAACTGATCACCCTGCGGGTTTATACATCAGAAGCAGTCACGAACTTATCCACACCGCTAAACGTAGGAATAAGTGGTGAGTGAAATAAAAAATATGGTAAAACAAATAACGCTATTTATCGTGGGAAAATGTTGTAATGCGCTCTTTTTCATGAAAGAACATCTAATCTTGTAGACGAAGCCGAACGTTTGCTTTTGATATGATCCTAAGGTTAAACACAGTTATAAAAATTCAAAACATGTCCTAAAGTAATTGGGTAATTTTCCTGTTGGACCACAGTTCTAAGTTAGTTTCGTCTTCGTTCCACATATGCATAAATAAATCAGTTAAGTAAAAATTACTTTTTTAACCGTCTCTAAGAGGTTGTTAAGATATTGTTGAAAACCTCAGCCTTGACGTTGGTGTAAAAATAGTTCTTATATAAAAAATGGTTAAATTAGTATTATTTTTAAGAAGCATTTAGTTATTTTATCAGTTAGTCAGTTCAGTATGATTTTTCATTATGATTATGATTTTTTGTTTATATTTAGGAAGTATTTGATGCATGAATTCGAATTCCAAAGTTGTTTAGGTTTGAGCTGTCGTGATGAGTTTCCGAATTGTGACCGCCTTTTCTAACTTCCTCAAGTGGACGTACTTAGTTTGTTTACTGACCTCGCTTTAGACCTACTCGAAAGTTCTTGTTTTGACTAATTATAACTCAGTCAGAAGTTGGCTCAGGCGATCGGAAGCATTATGACCCTTGAAGTACTTTGTTGTTCAGATCAAAAGTCTCGTAAAGTTGTTCGGTCTAGTGTTCTGACAAAAAATGTTTGATTTCCCTAGGTCAGCCACTTGATATGCCCACCCATTCATATTTTTCTTTATTCTTGCCACTTGTCTACTTGATACTGATTATATTGATATTGCAAGGAGAAATTCTGACTTGGTCACTCGTTGGAGTTGTGGGGATTAATAGGATTTGGAGGGCACAACTTGATTGTGCGAATTTCCTATTATAAATTTCTAAATTTATACTGACAGAAACCTTTTCCACTGTTAATCAAATCTAATTTGATAATCTAATTTACTCCGGATTCTAATTAAATTCATGTAATTATACCTTATACAAAAAGCAACTCCAGCGGGGACAAATCAATCAGTATTTTCAAACATCAGAGAGTTACACTTTGCTTCTTTCCTAAAACAAGGCGTCTTGTAACTTAAACGCAACCCACTCCACTTTAGGTCGGGTAAGTGTTGCAGTTATTGCAGAAAACAAACTTACTAGACTACGAGAAGGCCCTCATCATTAGCGCCTCGGCAGGAGAGAGTTTGCTCGAAAATAGGATTCCTTGTTGCAAGGGGGTTTCAATGGGGTGATGGCTTCTACGACCAACGGTTAAAACTTTCCTCCGTAAACACCAGAAGCATTTTTGCAATTCACTTTGGTTAGGACTAAAGGTTAAAATTTCTCAATTATTATGCCTAACGGCTAATATTTCTGGCTGTTTTTAGGGCTAACGGTTAACCCCATTGAAACCCTCTGGACAGCGCGAGCCGGCGAGAGGTGTGCACTGATGATGCCAGAACCCAAGCGAACCTCTCCTCGACTACCGCGACTCGTCTCGAAAGGAAAAAAGCGTTCTAAGGCGTATGAATATGGTGTCAAAAATGAGTGATTTCTTCGCCGTTGCCGTTATGTCACGCACCTTAAGCGTTGCGTAACATCTCAAGGAACGGATACGCGATGATGTGTTCACTCTATTTTCCTACAGATCAATCAAGATTTAACAGATTTGCTTTCCACAATGAATGCCTCGCCAATTTTGACGTTATTGGTACTCATTTTACCGCTGATCACATCGTGTCTAGCAGTGACTGATAATAACAATGATGGTAAAGATAGCAACAGAGCTTGTGGTCACAGTCATTGGATGCATTGCTCTTGCGCGCCTGGTATCCCAGGTATTCCTGGGAGCCCTGGGCTCGCGGGGCCCGCGGGTGTAGCGGGATCGCCCGGCCCTCGAGGACAAGCAGGGGACAAAGGAGAGGCAGGGACACTAGGAACTCCAGGGTCTACGGGCCGGGAGGGTCCACAAGGAATTAAAGGTGACGCCGGCGACAAAGGAAGCCAAGGAGCCCCTGGCCCTCAAGGCCTACCAGGGACATTGGGAAGTAACTGGAAACAGTGCGTTTTCAAAAATCTGAACGACGATAGGGACATTGGACTAGTCAAGGTAAACAATTGCATTCGTGTCTACCTCTGATGGGTAGAAAATATTTTCCCGTCATTTTTAGGCTGTTGAGAAACTGAAACTAATAGGCATAGAAAAGTATTGTCTCATTATAAGGCGCACTGCGATTAATCAATTTAGAGGACAGCGCCACAGTCAAAATTTGTGTTTGTTGCCAAAACACCTCGCCATTTATCACCAATTCGTGTCATTTTTCATAGGAAAATAAAGGTTTAATCAAGCGTTTGCTATATATTGTATGTCCTGAAAATGTGTTGACGACTGGACATCGATTAGAAAAGGATTCGTTTTGCTCTCGACGTGCGTTAATCATCCTATTTAAAGGTGTTCCGCGTAAGGAACCCTGTCCAAACCAGTCAGACACACAGAAGAGATATGAAAGATACTCAGCAAACTTCATCTTTCCTTTCCTTAGCATAAACAACCTTGGATTTTTTGATTATCAATAGAAATCAAAGAGGAAAACCGCTGCTCGTAATTTACAGTAACGACCTCAAACTCGCTAAGTGTAATACGTACTTGGAGAACCTGATGTTAGAAAGTATTGCAATCTTCGCTAGCTTTCAAAAAGCCGATTTTTAACGCATTGAAGGCGCATCCTAACCAGTCAATTTATGTTTGCGTCTTTTTTCGTTATCTTTTTTAATATTCTGTTAACAAGTACTTAAAAACTGGTCCAGCTTCCTTCCTTTCTTCAGTGAAGCAATTTATTGTTGATGATTTTTTTAGGAATGTGTTTTCAACAAATTGTCTCCCAACACTGGCCTCCGTGTTTACTGGAATGGCGCTCTCAGTATCTACAACTGCCACGCTTGCTGCAAGCGGTGGTATTTCACCTTCAACGACGTAGAGTGCTCGGCCCCCGCTGCCATTGATGGTTTAGTGTACATGGTACATGGGAATGGAAACAAGAAGAATTTACACCGGGTGCGACAAATCGAAGGTGTATGTGAGAAAGTTCCCCCGGGAATCGTGCGCGTGGGATTCTGGGTCGGCAATTGTCAGAGTGTCAAAAGTGCTGACGCGTACACGGGCTGGAACTCAGTATCCCGGATTTACGTGGAAGAAGTGCCACCTCCACAGGACTAAAACCTGTTAAAACTACGTCAAGTCTGCCAAACTTAGAAAAACTACACGTAAAGCTCTTAAAAAAGCAAAATCAAAATAGTGAGGGTTAATGAGAGGCTAATATCATGAGTTGGAATAAATAAAATAGAAATCTAATAAGCAAGGGCTCAAACTGAGTAAAAGCAGATGCAAATGGTAAACCCCGAAATTAAAAGGATTGACGGAAAATCTATCATTTTCTAAAATCTATTTCCACACACGTTGCTTTTGACAAAGCTGATCCCAGCCGTATACAAAACGCCTAGAGCCATAGCATCCTTGTAATGGCTTAACTAACGAACGAACTGTCTTCCATGTACAACATCGGACCCTTAAGACGTCTGATTCTTTGTAAGGAACTCAATTTTTTTTCGATTTCTCGTGCTCCTGACAAAAGCAAAGCATCCTTCTTCTTTCGAAAGCCGAAATTAAAAACTACAAAAACTATCTTCCTCCATCGTTATTTATTCGTGATGAAAAAGGTGACAGATCACCGTGGGGATAAATCTGCGCGCAGTGTGGACGAAAATCCAGGGCGGGTATTACAGCTTGTCAGCGAAAGCAATAGCGTTCTTTTTCAATTTCTTCCTGAACCTTCTTTTCCTGCTGAAAGTGGCTTGATAACCATCACTGTTCCGGGACTGGTCACAAGCTCTTATAGCGAGAGCTAGATCTTGGTCATGTTCGGTGACAAGATTTATCACTGCAACAGAAACAAAAGAATCTGTACCAATTTGAATACAGCATGGTGGAGTGGGTGCAGTTAATATTCTGTAGAATACTTAAGATGATCTGTAAGGGATACATTGCAACACAATCTTGAAAATACCACAGTCACGCGAACACAACTTTGGCACAATTGTATGTAGCACTGCGTACTGAAATTTGATTAATGGCAGTACTCTCTTAGGCTGTCCCAACTGTTACAGTTGGTCAACGCGCGGCCCAGCCTGGGTTCCCATACGACCCATATGGGATGACACAGCGGCAAAATGAGTGCGCGTACTCCGCTATTAGAACTGTATGGGCGTTCATGGCGACCATTATTCTTCGTCTGCAAACAAAGCTGACGCGGGTTTTTACGCCGAGACAACAAACTTTTTCTCCACAAGGTTTACCTACTGAGGAGACAATGATAAGAAGCGCTCAAGCGATATCAAATGCTTCAGACTACGTGGTCAAAATACGGATGCTCTACTTCTTAAATTCACAACTGTTATAGCGATAATTTTTTTGGTTGAGTGAGATATGTGACGGATGAGGTTCGACAGAAACCTTCCTGAAAACGGTAACCTTACCTGCATGTTTTAGTTTGAGCTTATCTTCGCAAGTGACAAAAAAATTTGGGAATTTGAAAAAATGCCGCCGTATTGCTGCAATAGTGTTGCTACAGAAATATCGTCGTTCCCATTCCTTTGCGCTCGTAAAAGTTCTTGCTCGTTATTAGCATGCACACTAGTTTAGCCGCTGTGACGTACGGGATATTTAAGTTTCTAACAAGCGCAAAATGGTCTCTTCAAAAAGTGCCACGAAACCACCGATTTGGAACGTCTCTTTCAGATTTTTATTTTTCACTCAGTTTCAGCAGGAGCCATTACTTATTAAGTAATGGGCTCCTGGTTTCAGGACTTAAAGTTTCGTGTTACCGGTTCCTAATTGTGTAAACGCTGGAACATCTGTTTTGTTTTGTTAAATGTTTCGATTCAATACATGCTTTCATTTAGACTTTGCATGGTTAGTCACCGTACCAATTTTGTAAAGAGTTCAAGCTTGAACTTCTTGTCAAAGCCCTGTCAAGCGAAATTAAGGGTCGCTTTTAGACAAAATGATATTTTGTCCGCATGGATTTAAAAAAACTCATATCCTACCTTTACCCGATGTACCCGCCCTAGCCAAATAGTTATAGTTTGATCATTCAGAATGACATGTTTCTAAAGCACTGAGTCACTCTCTCCTTGCTCTGCAGTGCCATTGAGAAAGTTATAAGCTTCCTCTGCTGCTTTTGTCGTGTTAACAAACACCAACACCTGTAAATTTTTCAAACGAACTGGCCCAAGACAGGCTTCTCCTTGCCGTCCTTGAGTTTTACCATCAATTTTAATTTCCTTTTTAAGATCCAATCTCTCAGCACCCTTTCAAATGAATACGATTTGTCTTCCTCTTTTTTTACTGCTAGAATCATTTATGCTATGATCAACATTTACTTTCTGCATGGAAGATATGTTTCCATTCTTTGCTCTTCCAATATTGCTAAGTAGATACCTGATCGACCCCGCTAGCGAATTCAGGCAACGCAACAACTTAGGCAATTTAAGAGTATCTTCTACCTTAACGTAACATATATCTTCTGTTGGCCTTGTGTGATGGGCCAAATCTGTGGAGACAAATTCAGACAAAAGACAAAACCAAAACCAAAACAGTCCCGGATTACTTTCAATACTCAGTTGAAAAGTGCTCGATATCGTGGTGAACTCTGAGTTATTCCGTCGCATAAAATGTCTTTTCACTATGCTTTGAATGGTGACTGAATCCCATTGGAGGTGGCCAAAAGGAAAATCACGGTTAATTGATATCAAATCGCATGTCGAAGAGCCCTACCTTTTCACATCCAGTCTCCTAAATGTTTGTGAGGTGATTGTTAAAGTTATAAATATTTCGAGATAAATAAATTGAAAGACCCTTGGAATACCACCCCTCTCCCCGTTAATCGCTCCTCTCCCATCCCCCACTCATAATTATTTCATTCTTCTTGAATACGATGAACTAAGGCGTGACCTGGCAGCAGTCCGCAGATCACAGAAACTTTCTGGTTGAAGACTCGTGCATGTGACATTGAGTAAGGAGAGGGTTCTGACGGGCTGTGATTCAACATGGCAGAACGGGTTCGAAACCAAAGAAAAGCAAATTATCAAGAGAATGACTTCTGTTTCCCGTAACTGATCACCCCCGCGGGTTTTTAAATCAAAAGAAGTCACGAACTTATCCACACCGCTAAACGTAGGAATAAGTGGTAAGTAAATAAAAAATATGGTAAAACAGATAGCGCTATTTATCGTGGGAATATGTTGTAATGCGCTCTTTTTCATGAAAGAACATCTAATCTTGTGAACGAAGCCGAACGTTCGCAACACGGACGTGACCGGGTAACCTTACAAAGTAGTTTATTACGTGTAGATTAAGGTCGATAATTAACTGTTTTGTTCCTCTGTGCATCATCGTTTATGTAAAAAAATTCAAAACATGTCCTGAAGTAATTGGGTAATTTTCCTGTTGGACCACAGTGGTACATTAGTTCTGGCCGTTTACGTTCAACATGTCTATAAATAATGATCAATAAAGTAAAAATAACGTTTTTACCCGTCCCTAAGAAGTTGTTAAGATATTGTTGAAAACCTTAGCCTTGACGTTGGTATAAAAATGGTTCGTCCTCAAGTGGACGTGCTTGGTCTGTTTGCTGACCTTGCTTTGAACCCACACGAAAGTTCTTGTTTTGACTGACTCAGTCAGAAGTTGACTTAATTGATCGGAAGCATTATGACTAAGTACTTAATAGTTCAAATCGAAAGTCTCGTGAAATTGTTTGGTTTAGCGTTCTAACAACAAATAATGGATCTCCCAATGTCAGTCAGCTAGCATGCCCACCCATATCAGTCAGTCAAAGCATGTTCTTTTGAGTTTACTTAGAAGAGAGTGGGGAGAAAAGAGAAAAGAGAAGAGAGAAAATAGAAAGAAGAGAAGACAATAAGAACTGACGTAGACAGTGTGCAGTAGAGTAGGGTCAGAATCCCGCAGTTAAAGAAAAATTATCAAATGATAATCAGAGTGTGAGAGCCTAAGGGATTAACCAGAGTTACACAGAATAAAATAAACTTGGATGTAAGTGGAATTGTGTACTGGAGAAGCGAGTAATTGAAGAAAGCAGAAAAAGACGGTTCGAGAGTCCTGGTGCCTTTCGCCGGGCTTGGTGCGCTCGATAGCTAGTTCCCCCGACATTAAGTCAGTCGTAACATTATCTGTGGTCTTATGATGTAAAAAAACCATAGTGGATCGTGACTTTCTACTGAGCGGAAGGACTTTTCTATTGTAATCACCTTTCTTTAAGTTGAAATTTACATCCTCTCAGGTTACGAATACTTTCACAGAAGTATTAATTGGCAATTTCGGGGCTCAAATTTTGGCTAAACTGGAGAGAAAGGCTGTGTTTTTTTAACCACTCATTAACTTTTTTTTAAAGCTGTTTTGATATCTTTCTCATTCCTGACAGCATTGGGACACTTTCCTAACTGATTTAAACCATTTCACTCCCAAGATCTCATTAGTGATTCTCCTTACGGTCTGCTATAACATTTTTATGATGTAAGTTTGGAGAATTTGGTATTGGATCTACAAATAATCTCCTAATACATATTTTTCTTTATTCTTGCCACTTGTCTTCTCGATGTTATATTGATATTTTAAGGAAAAATTCTGACTTGGTCACTAGTGGGAGTTGTAGGGATTAATTTGATTTGAAGGACAGAACGTGATTGGGAATTTCTCATTACAAATTTCGAAATACATTTTGACAGAAATCTTTTCCACTGTTAACCAAATCTATTTTGATGATCTACTTCACATCGGAACTGTATCAAAGGATTTCCCATACGTCACACGTTCAGGTTTCATTCTAACTAATTTCCGGTGATTGTACTTGAAAAGCAAGTCCAGTGAGGAAAAATCAATCAGTATTTTCAAACATCTTAGAACTACAGTTTGCCTCTTTCTTAAAACAAGGCGTCTTCTGACTTGAACGCAACTCCTTCCACGTCAGGTCGGGTGAGTGTTATAGTTATGTCAAAGAACAACTTACTAGACAACGAGCAGGCTCTCGTCAATAGCGCTCGGCACCAGAATGTTTGTTCGAAAATATGATGCCTTGCGCAAGAGGGTTTCAATGGGGTGATGGCTTCTACGACCAACGGTTAAAATTTTAGCCATTTTACGGCTAACAGTTCATATCTTTCCACTGTGTTCACCAGAAACATTTTCGCAATTCACTTTGGTTAGGACTAACGGTTAAAATTTTGGCCATTTTACGGCTAACGGTTGATATCTTTACACTGAGTTCACCAGAAAAATTTTTTCATTTAACTTTTGGTGGGGCTAACGGTTAAAATTTTTTAATTATTACGCCTAACGGCTAATATTTTTGGCCGTTTTTAGGGCTAACGGTTAACCCTGTTGAGACCCTCTGGGCAACGCGAGCCGGTGAGAGGTCTGTGAGAGATCTAGCATTGATAATGCCAGAACCCAAGCAAACCTCTCCTCGACCACGGCGACTCGTCACGGGGGAAGAAAAGCGTTCCAAGGCGTTCGAATATGATGTCAAAAATGAGTGATTTCTTGGCAGTTGTAGATATGTCACGCCCCTTAATCGTTGCGTGACATCTCAATGCAATGATGTGTTTACTCCATTTTCCTACAGATCAATCGGGATTTAACAGATTTACTTTCCACAATGAATGCCTCGCCAATTTGGACTTTATTGGTACTCATTTTACCGCTGATCACATCGTGTCTAGCAGTGACTGATGATAACAGTAATGGTAAAAATAGTAACGGAGCTTGTGGTCACAGTCATTGCATGCATTGCTCTTGCGCGCCTGGTATCCCAGGCATTCCCGGGAGTCCTGGACCGGCAGGGCCCGCGGGTGTAGCGGGATCGCCTGGCCCTCGAGGACAAGCAGGGGACAAAGGAGACGCAGGAACACCAGGAACTCCAGGAACTCCAGGGTCTACGGGCCGAGAGGGTCCACAAGGTGCTGCCGGCGACAAAGGAAGCCAAGGAGCCCCAGGCCCTCAGGGACCACCAGGAACATTGGGAAGTAACTGGAAACAGTGCGTTTTCAAAAATCTGAACGATGATAGGGACTCTGGATTGGTCAAGGTAAATGATTGCATTCGCATATTTATTTAATGGGCAGACAATACTTTCCCGTCAGTTCAAGCTGTTGAGAAACTGAAACTAATAAGCTTAAAAAAATATTCTCATCTCCTCATTATAACGCGCACTGCGATTGGTCAATTCAGAGGGCCGTGCCATGATCAAAATTTGTGTTTGTTGCCAAAATACCTCGCCATTTATCGCTAGTTCGTGTCATTTTTCATGGGAAACTAAAAGCTTAAACAACTGTTTGCTAACATCCGAACATCGACTAGAAAAGGATTCGTTTTGCTCTCGACGTGCGATATTAATTTGAAGGCGTTCCGCGTAAGGAACCCTTTCCAAACAAGTCAGACACAAAGAAGAGATATGAAAGATACTCAACATACCTTATATTTCCTTTCCTTACCTTAAATGATCTAACCTTTGATTTTTTTATTAGTAATTTACAATAACGACTTCGAACTCGCTAAGTGTAATACGTACTTGGAGAACCTGATGTAAGAAAATACTGCAATCATCGCTAGCTTTCAAAAAGCGGATTTTTAACGCATTGAAGGCGCATCCTAACCAGTCAATTTAAGTTCGCGTCTTTTTTCGTTCTTTTTTTTGCTTGAATTCTGTGAAATTAGTACTTAAAAACTGGTCCAGCTTCCTTGTGCTAAGAGGATTCTTGATTGTAGCAATCCATTGTTGATGATATTTTCAGGAATGTGTTTTCAACAAATTGTCTCCCAACACTGGCCTCCGTGTTTACTGGAATGGTGCTCTCCGTATCTACAACTGCCACGCTTGCTGCAGGCGGTGGTACTTCACCTTCAACGACGTGGAGTGCTCGGCCCCCGCTGCCATTGAGGGTTTAGTGTACATGGTACATGGGAATGGAAGCAAGAAGAATTTACACCGAGTGCGACAAATCGAAGGTGTATGTGAGAAAGTCCCCCCTGGAAACGTGCGCGTGGGATTCTGGGTCGGCAATTGCCAGAGTGTCACAAGTGCTGACGCGTACACGGGCTGGAACTCAGTATCCCGGATTTACGTGGAAGAAGTGCCACCCCCACAGGATTAAATCTTGTCAAAATAGGTCAAGTCTACAAAACTTAAAAAATCTATACGTAGAGCTTTTGAAAAAGCAAAATCATAATAGTGAGGGTTGATAAGAAGCTAATTTCATGAGTTGGAATAAATAAAATAGAAATCTAATTAGCATGGGCTCAAACTGAGTAAAAGCAGATGCAAATGGTAAACTCCGAAATTAAAAGCATCGACGGAAAATCTATCATTTTGTAAAATCTGTTTCCACACACGTTACTTTTGACAAAGCTGATCCCGGCCGTATGCAAAACGCTTAGAGCCATAGTTGGATGATTGGATGATGGTTAATCGTCTTAAATTAAATAAAGACAAAACTGAATTATTGGTAATTTCCGCTAAACATCTTCCAAGACCACTCCTTCATGAAATTTCAGTTGCTGGTGAGACTATCCCTTCCGTGCAAAAGGCGAGGAATATCGGCACTATGTTCGACAGCCATTTTTGCTTTAAGGATCATATTACTGACATTTGTAAATCTTCATTTTATCATTTGCGAAATATTAGCTATATCAGGAAATATCTTTCAGCGACCACTACTGAATTGCTGGTTCATATGTTTGTATCTTCGAAGCTGGATTACTGTAATTCCCTTTTGTATGGCCTACCAGCCTACGCTATAAAAAGGCTACAACATGTCCAGAATGCCGCGGCGCGCCTCGTCACACTTACAAAAAAGCATGATCACATTACGCCTGTTCTTTTCAATCTTCATTGGCTTCCCGTTAACCAACGTATTATTTTTAAGATTTTACTTATAACCTACAAGGCACTTAACAACCTGGCACCGTCGTACATTTGTGATCTGCTTACATCTTACACCCCATCGCGTCAACTACGCTCATCATTCAAGCACCTTCTGGTTTCTCCATCCTATAACTTGAAAACATATGGCGCAAGATCTTTCTCTGTAGCAGCACCATCATTATGGAATACTTTGCCAAGTGAAATTAGAAATGCTCAGTCTGTGTCTGTTTTTAAACGTAGATTAAAAACTTTACTCTTTAGAAAAGCCTTTTATAATTAATATCAGCTGTCTTAAGTGTTAATTTTCAAGTTTTTTTTTTTTTTTTTCTTTTTTTTTTTTTTTTTTTTTCTTGTAGGCGCCTTTGAACAGTAGGATACTGGCGCGGTATAAATCTTTTATTATTATTATTATTATTAGTATCCTTTTCATGGCTTACCTCACGAAAGAGCTGACTTCTATGTACAACATTGGGCCCTAAAGACGTCTGATTCTTTGTAAGGAACTCAAATTTTTTTCGATTTCTCGTGCTCCTGACGAGAGCAAAATATCTTTCCTCATTCGATAGCCGAAACTAAAACTACAAAAACTATCATCCTTAATCTCCATTTATTCGTGGCGAAAAAGGTGACAGATCACCCTATCATCGTGGGGACAAATCTGCGCACAGTGTGGACAAAAATCAACAGCGGGGGTATTACAGCTTGTCAGCTAAAGCAATAGCGTTCTTTTTCAATTTCTTCCTGAACCTTCTTTTTCTGCTAAACGTGGCTTGATAACCGTCACTGCTCCGGGACTGGTCACAAGCTCGTACAGCGCGAGCTAGATCTTGGTCATTTTCGGTGACAAGGTTTATCACTGCAACAGAATCAAAAGAACCTGTACCAATTTGAATACAGCTGGGTGCAGTTAATATACTGGAGAATACTGCTACAGCTAGTTAACGCACGGCCTAGCCTAGGTTCCCATACGACCCATACAGGATGACACAGCGGCAAAATGAGTGCGCATACTCCCCTACTGGAACTGTATGAGCGTTCATCGCTACCATTATTCTTCCTCTGCAAACAAAGCTAACGCGGGTTTTAACACCGAGACAACAAACTTTTTCTCCAGGAGGTTCACCTATTGAGGAGACGATGACAACAAGCGCTACAGCGATAAAAATGTTTCAAACTTCGTAACCTTAATACAAATGCTCTTCTTCTGTCGTTAAATTCACTCTGTTACAGCACTTTTTTTTGTTGAGTGAGATATGTGACGGATGAGGTTCGACAGAAACCTTCCTGAAAACGGTAACCTTATCGTTTTGGTTTGAGCTTATGCTCGCAAAATAACAAAAAAAATACGGGAATTTTCAGTTAAAAAATGCCGCCATATTGCTGCAACAGTGTTGCTACAGAAATATAATCGTTCCCATTCCTTTGCGCTCGTAAAATTTCTCGCGCGTTATTAGCATGCGCACTAATTTAGCCATTGTCACGTACGGGATATTTAAGTTTCGAACAAGCACAAGAATGGTCTCTTCAAAAAGTGCCACGAAACCACCGATTTGGAACGTCTCTTTCAGATGTTCATTTTTCACTCAATTTCAGTAGGAGCCCTTACTTATTAAGTAATGGGCTCCTGGTTTCCGGACTTAATGTTTCGTGTTACCGGTTCCTGATTGTGAAAACGCTGGAACATCTGTTTTAAGTTATTCTCCAAAATATTTCGATTAAATACATGCTTTCATTCAGACTTTGCATGGTTAGTCACCTTACCAATTTTGTAAAGAGTTCAAGCTTGAACTCCTTGTCAAAGCCCCGTCAAACGAAATTAAGGATCGCTTTTAGACAAAATGATATTTCGTTCGCATGGATTTAAAAAAACTCATATCCTACCTTTACCCGATGCACCCGCCCTAGCCGTCCTCCCCGTGCGATGCAGCACCTGAGTGGCACTCAGGGCAAAGTCCAACTGAATCACATGACTAACATCCGGGATGTCCAACCCTCTAGATGCTAAGTCTGTGCAAATCAAGACCTTCAATTCTCCAGATGTAAATTTCTTTAGCGTATCTATTCTTTCATCGGGCAAGATATTTTTGTGAATCTGACCAACTTTGCCTGGCCATAGATCGATGTACCCAGTACGTATCACAACACGTCTTTGTGCTTTTGCCTCAACACCAATGTCCGATTCTCCCGGGTCATTTTGCCAAATACTTATAGTTTGATCATTCAGAACGACATGTTTCCAAGGCACTGAGTCTCTCTGTCCTTGCTCTGCAGTGCCATTGAGAAAGTTATAAGCTTCCTCTGCTGCTTTTGTCGTGTTAACAAACACCAACACTCGTAAATTTTTCAGACGAACTGGCTCAAAACAAGCTTCTCCTTGCCTTCCTTGAGTTTCACCATCAATATTAATTTCCTTTACAAGATCCAATCTCCCAGCCACCTTTTCAACTGAATACGATTTGTCTTCATCTTTTTTATTGCTAGAATCATTTGTGCTATGATCAACATTTACTTTCTGCATGGAAGTTACGTTTCCATTCTTTGCTCTTCCAATATTGCTAAGTGGATACCTGATCGACCCCGCTAACGAATTCAGGCAACGCAACAACTCAGGCAATTTAAGAGCATCTTCTACCTTAACGTAACATATATCTACTGTTGGCACTGTGTGATGGGCCAAATCTGTGGAGATAAATTCAGCATCTGGTAACCATTCCCTCAACACATTATAAATGTCCTTTTCCCCACGTGAAGGCAACGTTGCAGCCACAAAGATAAATTGCCGATGCAGGGCCAGAGGAGTTGTGCTGGCTTGAAAACCTGACCCTTCAACTGGCAAATGTACAGTTTCATTCAAATTGTGTTCATTTGATTCCTTACCATGTACTTCAGCATTATTTACAACTTTTAAAGACTTTGATCTTAGCTTTTTCCGCCTCTTCGTTGTGATCTCTATACCCATAAAATAACTGAGAATTTCATAAATTTCTTGTTGTCCATTGGTTAACAAGAGGTCTGCTTCATCAGTAACCACTACTCTAATGTTACGTAGAGTCCTGGGGCTATAGGTGAGCAAGGCACTGGGTGTGGCCAGTACAATGGGGTGTTTGGAGTTTATATGTAACTTGGAGTCTTTATGAACAGTGCATGGCTGCATTGAATCATCTGTTAGACTTTGAAACACATTGGCAACCTATTCAAATGAGAGAGAACAATAAGTTTCCAAGTTTTTAAATTCTTCAAGAATTTTGCAAGGATCTTAATTAGCAGTTTCAAAGAAAAGTTTACAATAGCAAAGGACAAAGCACTTGACTTGTTACTCCTTTAACTCTGAAAATGTGTAAACATTTTCATTTCACTGTTAGCTGGATTTTAAAAATCAGATCCAAAGAGCAGAGAGTTCTATGCATTATTTTATGGCATCTGACCTCACCTGATGGCAAAGTTCAATAGTGGGCAGCAACACAAGAGCATATGGTGGCTTAGAAACTGTTTCTTTGTCCACAAGAAGTTTATTGATAATAGGAAGAAGGTAACCTGCAGGAACAACCAGAACAGCACCTTGAGTTAATACACTGAAGAAATCTCAACTACTTTCAATCAGGATATATAGATTCTTTAAAGAAAAAAAAAACCATGATGCCTTGTGTCTGTGAAGTGTTAAATCACAGATGACCTAAAAAATGTGGTAAAAACAAAAAAGAGTCGCACCAAATGTGTCACTTAGGTTCTTACCATAAATTGACCTCTTGGTTGAGTCAAAGTGATTTTAAAAGTACACAACATTATTCAAAACCAAAATATAAAATTACTCGAAAACAATCAAAGCAGATGGTTTGTGGAAAACACTAACTCATCTCCTGTTATAATAATTTACCCACTTACAAAGAGTTTTTCCACTTCCTGTTTCTGCATTAATGATTGTGTTTCTTCCTTCTAAAACTGGTCTCAGGGCCTAAAGGAACATTAAGAAATTATATAGCTAAAAAAAGATTTAAATGCCATGGCAACACAAAAGTTTTCATGAAAAATCTACTTCGCCTGGGTATCCGGAGAACTCCCAAGGAAACCCTCCTGAATTGTATGGTCATGGTACAGGAAGGTTGTGTCTCAACAGTTTCTTTCCAGCACCTGCATTCCTTAGAGTGCAAAATCATAATGCAAAGCCACCGACGTCTGAGTCCTCCCGATACTTTTACAAAACGAAGAACGAAAGAGTAGATACTATTCCCCCTTAAACTCCCACCTGTGGTTAATATGTAGGTTCTCGCTAAAACATCCATACATTGTCAAGAAAATGGGTAATGAGAATACTCAAACTTATCAGGTAAAAGGTGTTTTCTCGATTTAACCCCAAATTCTCGTAATTTATTTGAAGTAGCTAGAGGGGGGAATTTACAATCCGATCTAGGGAGTAAAAAGGTTACTTTAATAGGCTCGTATTGAATTGTACTGGAATAAACCTCACCTTTTCCTGAATTTCTGTCGGTTTTTCGATACGTAAATTCCTTAGCCGTTTGACTAAGTTGTTTTCCAATCCGAAGGAATTGAAAAACCGCGTTGCCGTCCTCTCAAAATAAAAATATTTCCATAGAAAATATCTTGTTCGGAAACGCACGAGCGCGGCCGCCATCTTGCCAAGCAGCCGCGCAAAGATTTTTCGATTGCTTGGTAGCCTCTCGATTAGTCTGATGACATGTACCTGTCAAAATAGCATAGTTTGCAGAAAGGTTTTCGTAACCATGTAATAATTTCGTATTATTTCATTTAAGGTTACGATGTTTTGGTTTACGCTTTTTCGGTTTTTAATTGCTTGAAAATGAAGACATCGGACTCTTATGTCTGCTAAATTTGTGAAATATGGCATGGAACACAAGATCGAAGTGGACTCGCTCCAAACTGGAGCCTCCTCGTCTTCCAGCTCGCTTGACCGAGTTTCAGGGTAAGCGCAGCGTAACTTAAGTCGAATTTTGCAAGGAAAAGATGTTCCTCATTTTTATGTATCTTAGGGCGGTAAAACAGCATTAATTCTACTTGCGGGAATCGTCTAAGCAGTTATCAGTGATTCGATCCTTCTCGACTCAGCTCAACTTCCGTCGTACGTGATTAGTTGAACTGTTGCGACTTACAATTTTTGGTGTAAAGCGAACATGAACTGCAGTAAATCGTATACAAATGTACAATGCTATGTACAGCTCTCCCTTTTAGTAAGTCTGAGACCATAACCAGGTGTGTTATCACTATAATGACTCGGATTACTCTTTAAGAAGCGGTTACTTACTTAACGGTACACTTTCAATTGTCTCAAATCATAGCATGCAACGAAGATATTCGACAGCTTTTTACATATTTATTTGTCAATTTATGTGTCAATAAACAACGGTATGATTTTGCCTAAATGAGTTTTCGTGGTAGCATGAATCAGCCTTCCGTAATTTGAAGATAGATTGATGATCACTGTGTTATCAAATTACTAATATCTTGGACGTGATAAAGGTGTTTTTGTGGGCGTGATTGTAGGTGTGATCATCACCTGATCATGAAATTAGCAATAAGTATGATACATAGGGTGATTCATTGTTTACAGTCAACGTTCAGCAGTAATGTGCCCTTGACTTTCATGAGTATATAGTTTGGTAGTCAATAGGAAAATATGACGATAACAAAGTACTGATACTCCTTCTTCGCCCTTTGACCCCTGAGAGAGACTAACATCTTATTTCTCTTTACCGTAGTACCTCAGACAAAATTTAAAGGTCATGAAAATAAAGGAAATGATCACTAACTAAAGAAGCTCTTTATTGCCAAACAAATTCTCCTTGTTCTGTTTGTACCAAATGTATAGAGAACAGTATGGAGAATGTGCATACCTGAACTTAAGTGCATGAAATGTGATCAGAACCCTTCCTCCACTTTGCTACCCTCAGCTATGGGCACCTTTCTATAACATCCACCTCCCTTTTCCTCATTGTGGGGAAGTTCCACTGTAACTAATTCTGTGTTTTTGACAGATGCTGATCTCTCAGATACATATGTCCCCAATAAAGACCCTTCCACCGGTGTGCAAGCTTTGGAAGGAAGAGTGCCTAACTATCTGTTGTTAGTTTCTCTACTGGAACATCTCTGTTCTCTGTATGAGACTGATCCAGAGAAAAGCAAGAAGATCTTTAATGGTAAGTGTCACACTTTGGAAATACTGAACACAAAATATATGAGTCAAATTTGTTTTAGAGAACTGTAATGGTCACTGATAGGATCCACTGAGATGCTGTGCAGATTTATCATAAATATAGGTTTGAACAGTCATATCTATAAGAGTCAATGCAATAGCTACATGTAAATAGTATTTTGATAATTGATGTAATATTGTAAACTAAATTAGACTGCAGCAAATTAGTAACATGGTCTTTTAATAACAATCTATGGAAAAAAAAAAGGTCTCACTTAATGCAATGTAGTGGATCAAATGGAAGGTCAGTCACTTCTATGAAATCTTTGGGCAGATTTTGAGCTTTTGTGTCAGACTATCTCTGTCATAGGGCCTGGTGTACATATAACTCTCACATATCCCTATGAATTATGTTGGAAACAAGTATGAATTGATAAAATGTCATTAACTTCTTCTTGGCTGAAAGTTGGTACAGACCGTACCTTTTAAGTGTTCTCTATTTTTAATGCAATGAAAGTGGAATTTAATCGACAAGAACTTTTTTTTTTTGCAGTTATCTGTCAGCAGCTTGTGAAGATGAAGGTATGCACTTGTTTTTAACTCCTGTTCATTGTACTTCTGTGTAATACATGTAAGGTCTTGAGCATGCTATTGCTGAAAAATGGTTTTCCAAGAAAAACCCTTTCATGGGCCATACTGGAAGACACAAGCAGGGAAAGAAAAGTGGACACTGTCCAGCATACTGCTCTGTGAGATGTAAAACTGCTACAAAAAAGTTGTCAAGTCATGGTACGACTGATATTGTAAGGAGTCGTGATATACTAGTCATTCTTAGGAGTCAAAGGGTTAAGAGGTTACATTATTCAACTGATTTACTTTTTCCAGGTGATGCCCCCCTTTTCATTTCTTGAGGAATTCAGTGTTATCAGGGCAAAATACAAAACAGCTTTCAGTGATCTCATGCAAGCTGCTGCAAGGACCACTGGAACAGATGTAAGAAAGCATGTTTATGCCATGGCATTTTAGACTTGAGATTGGGAGTGGGACACTGTTGGAATATATGAGGTTGTAATGAATATATCTGGAGTTTTCTAATCCTTGAGCCAAATTGCATACTCCTGTCATTTTTCCCTTTTGTGATAAATAAAACAAACAGTGGGGGAAAACAAACCTTGTTAACCTTAGTTAACACATTTCAAAAAGGTACATCAGTTCATCAAACTTTTTTTGTAGGGTAAATAAGCAGATGAAACACCTGAACTGGTTAATCAACCATAATGTGAAAATCTTGAGAAAAAATAATGATGTCATACTCTGAACCTTATGTGCTGATTGGTTTGTTGTGCCAGTCAATTATTACCCTACACACACCATTTGAGAATTTTTTGCCTTTTCAATATAACTGTGCCTCAACTCTGCAATGCAGCCACATCCTCTGCCTCACAACCTCATGTGGCTCTCCCTTTGGGTCAGGATGAGGAGTATAATTTACAGGAACTCAGGTTGAAAGTATGAAAAATGTTTGTTAATGTGTTTGATATGTTACTGAAATTTCAGCTCCTTAGTTTCCCATCTGGGTTGAGGAATAAGGGCCCTTTTGGTAGATGTATGTGTAGGTAAGAAATTTGGTGGTTATACATTCACTTGTTTTCCTTAGAGCAGAAATGAACTGTCTTGTTTGGATAAATGTTTCTAATTATGTGAATTCAATCCCCAGAGTTATTTATTTTCTTTTGATATAACCCTGGTTTGTCTCTTCAGGAGCCTATCTGCTCCCCATAAAATGCAGGATCTTTTGCAAAATGGAACTTCTCGTTACAAGGAGGAGTTTGTCGAGATCATAAGACTTGGTAAAGGAGGCTTTGGAAGTGTTTTCAAGGTTTGTGGCCTAACCATAGCTTTGGGAGTAGGTGGAAGTTTTTATCATCATGCTTCTTGCACATTTATTAAGTATAAAACTCAAGACTAAAGTTACTTTTTGTTTGTTTCTTTTAAGGTGAAAAACAAACTTGATGGAAGAGAGTATGCAGTAAAAAAGGTTCCACTTAAAGAAACAAATCCTGATCTTTGTTTAAAGGTATACACAAAAATCCAGTACTCCACAAACAGTAACTGTACCTTTGTAAGCCATATGAGTTTTTTACATAATTACGTGTGCTGGACTCTGGGTCAAGAGGTCTGGGTTCAAAGCCTGGCCAGGTCATTGTATGTTATATTCTTGGGCAAAACACTTTACTTTCACCATGCCTCTCTCCACTTAGGAAGATAAATGGATACCAGTGATTTTTCAGGGAGGCTGGGTGAAATTCTAGGGGGGTTAACCTCCTGATGAAGCTTCCCACCCAGGATGGGGTGGGGGGGGGGGGGGGGGGGGGGGGGGGGGGGGCTTGCATATCACAGCCATTACTATAGAATAGGACACAGTAACACTTGCATGCCTTTGTTTCTTGTATATAGGTTTTGCGAGAGGTCAAAGTTCTGGCAAACCTAAGTCACAGTAATGTTGTTGGATATCATGCAGCATGGCTAGAGTATGTGACAACAGATACTGTCAGCACTACTATGCCCAGTAAGGAAAAATCTTTGTAAACCATTGGAAAAGATAAAAACCATACCTTGCAAGGAATTGAAACCAGTCAAAGAACTGATGCATGTTAACAGAAACAGTTCAAAAAGAGCTTAATGGGGGATTAACCCTTTACACCCGAAGATCAGTATGCATATTCTCCTTACTGTTCTTAATACATTTCCTAGGGTGCTGACAAGGAGAATTTGGTTAAAAATTGGGAAAATCTTTAACTGGTGATCATTTCATTTATTCTCATGACCTCAATGTGGATTCAGGGGTGATACTGTAGGAGAAATTACATGTTGGTCACCCTTGGGGGGTTAAAGGATCCATACAGAGAAGAAAAGGTGTTGAATTTTGTGTGTGGAAAACTATTTTGGGATCAATATTAGTATCTGGGCAACTGCCCACCTACCCCTCCCCTAACTCAACAACAGTCAATTGATAACAAGTTAAGGGTTAATGTTGGGTTAGGGGAGGGGAAGGTGGGCAGTTGCCCAGATACTGATATTGATTCCTTTTTTGCTCGTAAAACCTTAGAATAACATAATTTGTGTTCTTTCTGCTCTCATAATGTATCTTCGACTTACTGCTCTCCTAACACCAGTTATGATATGAGGTTTCAGAAAAGGTTGTAGATGGTGACTGATTGAAGTACTTTTCTCGTCAGGAGTAGCTACGGTTCCCACAAGTCTTCAGGAATTCAGTGACCTTTCTTCTTTAAATGGAATTCACAGGTAGGTACCCTTCTTTAGTAAACTTGAATTTGTCAGCACATGTGTGAACCTGTTCCACGACGTAAATTACTGGCCTGTTCTCTGTAGCTCTCTGGTGGAGCATCTGTCTAGAAAGCTAGAAGGTAGGTGGTTTGAATCCTGGCTTAGTGGGAACTCGGACTTTTTTTGTCCTAGGCTTGCAACAAATGTTCAAAAAATTTTCTTCATCTGGAACTTGTGTTATGGGAGGCTGCCGTCTTGCTTTGTTGTTCATTCTCAGAGCAAAACTCCTTAAACCCCATCACACCAGCAAAACATGTGAAAATGACCTAGGTTTGACTGAAAGAAAATCAGCCACAGAAAACTAAGAAACTGAATTTTACACAAGGTTTAGGTGATCTTTAACTTATATTTACGTTGTGCTACATTTGAAGTCGACAAACGTCTCTTTAACTCCTCTTACCCTTACATCAGTGTGCATATTCTCTACACTATTCCCTATACATTTCCTAAGGTGCTGACCAGGAGAATCAGTTTGAAAATTAAGAGTTTGTTCTGTTAGTGATCATGTCCTTTATTCTCGTGACCTTAATGAGTGATTTAGGGGTTATATTGTAGGGAGAAATTACATGCCAGTCACTCCAAGGGGTTAAAAGGTTAGACACGTCTCTCTTTTCAGGATCATGGAAGTTAGTCAAGATAGCCAAAACAGCATAGTGTTTGAAAGTTCATCTCAGGATCCCTCTAATAGTGGCATTGTGTTCATGGCTGATGATGACTCAGTGGGGACTGGGAGCCAGGCGGAAGGAAAGCAGCGTGGTGCCCATGGTATGATGCTTACCAGTCGTTTTATACCCAAGGACGTTTCGTACTCAGTTGATTCGTACCCTGCTGGGATCATTCGTATACCTAGTCTGTTTAGCCGTTTCGTACCCATGGTCATAAACTATGTTTTCCTTGTGAGTATGTTTTCGCTTGTAACAATCGACGTCTGTTCACATTCGCGCGTGAGGTATTTCGTGGAATCTCCTAGATTTTGATCGTCACTGAATGTTTCGGCGGGTACGAATCGACCAGCTGATTGGGCGGAAACCGACTCAAACTGGGTACGAATCGTCTGAATTTGGATACGAATCCGCTGAATACGAAACATCCGTGGGTGCGAAACGACTGGATTCTGGTATGGTAACCGAGTCGCTTTTGCTGGTTTACGCAAGTGGCAAAGAGAACATGTAAGTAATGAGATAGATTTAGAATAGTGGTGAATTTGATATCAGAAATGCTACGATCTCCCTCAATCTATTTACACACACAACACCTCTGAAATTTCTAATCCTATCACTACGCAAGACTCTTCTCACATTCAAACCCACAGCCTTCTTCAAATTTTGTTGAAACAGCTTGACCCCGCTCCACTCCCAATGTTGCGCTCCAGTTTTTTCTCTACCAATATTTTCTTTCTTTACTGAAAATATCGTTAAATTTAAGCCGAAGAAACTGAGGGTCGCAGAGTGAATGGTGTACTGCTTGTTCGCTTTTAACTATTATTTTCAATTCACAGCTGAAAGTCACTTGGGCAAGATCCATTCAACCAACCTCAGGAGCACCAATAATACTCGTAAAAGCACAGCCCCTTATCATGCTTCACGTCGCAGCATGCGTCGATCAGCGTCCAGTTCAAGCTTAGGCTCCATGGCTAAAGATAGTGACCGTCACGTTATTGATGATGAACAAAGCAACGAGCTGAGTAGCGATCAGAGCAGTGCATTCGCAGAGAGCATACTGAAAAGTACAGCCGTTAGTAAGGTGAAATGTTTTTTGAGATTATTAGAGAAATTTTTATTTCAATTGGTTTGCTCAACTTCGCTCTGTGATTGGTTTAGAAAGCTCGTGCCGCCATCAAAAACCAATCAGATACAAAACTAAAACCAATTCCAGCTTGGTCACTCGCGTTTTCCCGCGCCTTATGCTGGTTGTCCACTTTTACTTTGAGTTTTCATTAGTTGATGATAACGTCAATTTTTTTTTCTGATTGGTAATTGTGATCACTTTGGTTTTGCTTTTTTGACACTTTTGAAAACTGCTCTTATGCAATTACAATCTGACTCTACGGATTAAAACCCAATCTGATACAGTGTAACGTGGAAAGTTAGCAGGTTTCCAATTTTGTAGATTGCCCTTGATCTGCAAAATTGGTCTACCATATCCCTTCTCTCTTAATAACTCTTTACGAAGATCAGTTCAAAGATATTCTGCATTAAAACACAACATCGCAAAAAGGTTATTTTTTATTCATTTTTATCCGCAAAAACACAAAAAGTGGAAGCGAGAGTGTTAGGGAAGCGCTGTCAGAGAATAAGAACATTGCATGTCTTTTTTTGTTTGTGTGGTTGTTGGCCTTCGTTGTTTGTTTCAATATGTTCATTCATTGTGTCATCAGCGTCTAGGAATGTTGCTGTTTATTCAGATGCAGCTCTGCACAACAACACTGCGAGACTGGCTGGTGAAACGTAACGAGGAAATCTCCCACACCACTGGTAAGTACCAAGGGAAAGAGTTCGTATCGATCGGTAGTATTTCACTGAACGTTTTATTTCTTCCTTTCTTGTCAGACGGCCAAGTCGACAAATCAGCTGTTGTGGAAATTTTTCGCCAAGTTGTGGAAGGTGTGAGCTACATTCACTCTCAAGCGCTTCTTCATCGAGATTTGAAGGTAACAGTATCTGCAAGTGATATAGCTATCACGAAATGTGTACCGAGTGTGCGTTTCTACTCTTTCGTTTCTACGTCATCTTTCTCTCTCTCTTTTCCCCAACGATCCAACGATGAAGCAAGTGGCCAAGTTAGGGTGGAAAGATCTGAAGCTTTTATTTGTTACGCAATCGCTTTTACAAGAGATTAAAAAAATAACTTTAACAAAATGTCTTTAACAGTGAAAATCGTGAGGTTGACCCAATTTACAAACGACCGCCATTAAAGAAAGGCGACAATCTAAACTTTAGAAATGATTCACATATCATGTTCACAAGTATTTCACTTAATATTCGTGCAAGTCTTCGATTATTAAGAAATAGAGTCAACGATCCAGCGTGCAAGACTTCTCTGGGAAAGAAATTCCACACATTAACTGTCCACACAAAGAAAGATGCTAGTAACAATTGCGAGTAGGTGCTTTGTATACGCGAAGTTTAGTCGCACACAAGTGTAATTTCATTACCACTCTCTTTTTCCAGCCAAGAAATATCTTTCTCCAAGGACTCAGACATCCAAAGGAAGAACGATATAGTTTCCAGGTCAAAATCGGTGACTTTGGTTTGGCTCGGAAAGAAGTGGTCGTGAGTCCTGGAGCTAGTAGTCCGCTGGCCAGTTTGATTGAGCCACTCACCCCGTTATTTTCTCCAGGTATGAAAGTGCTGTATTACCAGCTTAATGTGTTGTTGTAATTTCGAAGTTGCAAGGTAACATTTATCTGATTATATCAAACAGGATGTTCTGGTAAAGATGTTCCCACCGCTGGTGTTGGCACATGCACTTATGCTTCGCCTGAGCAACTAAGGAACAACATATACGATAACAAGGTGAATTTATAATACTCACAGCAGAGTGCTCTTCGATCGAGTATCGGAATACTAAAACGGAGTAAAGACAACGGTGAATCAAGAGAAAGGAAAATATCACGAGGAAGCAATCAGGAGTCAGAGTTGTTTTTACTTTTTTCAGGTATCGGATTGGTTGAGGCGATGGACCAGGGGCAGTCCCTGAGCCAAAAGTTTTTTGAAGTGGAAACATAATTGAACGCCGTTTTTCACCAAAGTTACTCCATAGGTCATTCGTTTCCTTTGATCTCGACTAAATTGTAAGAACCAAGGTTTAGTGGGTTGTAATCGTAATCTTAGCTAAAAGTCTGCTTATAATTTAACAAGATATCTCGGATTTTCTTTGTTTGCTCAACTGACTTAGGCGGATATTTACAGCTTGGGAATAATCCTCTTCGAGCTGTACTGTCCTTTTGGTACTGAGATGGAACGAGTAAAGAGTATAAAAGATCTCAGGCAGGGAAGGTTACCAGAAGACTTCTGTGAGAAATGGCCAGAAGAGGTTAGAGTAACATATTTTTATCATCTTTGTTACATAGGTGCGCTTCGCAGCCAAGTTAGGGTCCATTCCCTTAGCTGTATCGTTTTTTGAGCGCTAAAGCCAGAAACAAAGTTACCATGACAGCCAATTAGGCAAAGAAAAATATCGCCAAGAGGCGATGAGAAATCAAAGTAAAAACAGGTAAACAAATGAATAAAAGGGGAAAGTTTCTAAAGAAACTGTGGTGCTGCGTCGGTGGGAGAGTAAAGCAGGTAATTTAGTGTTAACAACTGAGTTGAAAACGTAAATTAGCCGCCTTAAAGGGTGACAAAGCTGACGTTTCGAGCGTTAGCCCTTCGTCAATCGCTCTGACGAAGGGTTTACGCTCGAATCGTCAGCTTATTACCCTTTACGGTGGCTATCTTACGTTTTCAACTCAGTTGTTAACACTAAATTACCTAACGTTGATGACCAAGTTGCCAATTAAAGCTAATTAAAGCAAAACCAATGCAATCGAAGCTTCCTTCGGAAACTCCAAGGAAAATTCATCCAGTGGACTTTATGTTTTGTCGGAAAGGTCGTTGGACTTATCATGGGACCGGTGTTGAATATTACCAAGATCGTTTATTCACCGAACAAATAACAAGATGAGTTTATTCTTGTGCCGCTACAAATATCCTCCAGTGGGACTGCACTCAATCGTTTAGTATTAAACATTTTTTATTAAGATATCGCGAATGGACTCCGTGAATTGAGGCCGGTGTATTTTTTGAACCCCAGGCTCAGAGGTAGAGCATCGGAGCGCAAATCCGAAGGTCTGAGGTTCGATTTCTCATGGGGACTCAGAATTTTTCCTTTGTCCCACGCTTGCGACAAGACGAAAAAACATCTTTCTTAATTCTTTACCGAGCTCAAAACTTACCATCTCTACTATTTCTACCCAAAATTGTTGCCTTACTTCGCTGTCAATATAACTTAGCGCAAGGTTTTTGTCAGATGTTGCAGGCAAAGTTACGTAACTTAACAGAAGACGTGAATACTGTGTTAATAAAATTGTCGCAGCATCGGTTAGTCATTGATTACAATTGAAATTTTACCGGAGAGTCTGTTCAGAGAATTAAAAAGGTAATATTTCTCTGACTAATAAGCTGCCGACACAGTTTTTGGGGAAGATTTCTCTCCTACTAGATCGAAAGATAATTGTTTTACAATTATTGAGCGAATCATAAAAAAGGTGAACAAAGCAGTTTAGCTGCTATTCATTTTAAAACATGTCACAAACCTCAAGTGCTAGAATACGCTTTTTAACTAAATCGAGAATGGTTTTGCATGCAAGTAAACATGTTCTTTGTCAATTTATCGAAGCAACAGGTTGGTTTCAAACTTTTTATAAATCATGTCAAGTCAAAAGACGCTTTGTGTTGTCATGTTTCGTTGTAGTCTAAGCTGATATTGGAGATGGTAGCTGAAAACTCTGGCAACCGGCCTACAGCAGAGTCTCTTCTTGAGCTTGGCTTCTTGAAAGCAAAGCACACGGTAAGTTTGGATTCTTCCTTTTTTGTTTCTTTCTTTGTTCATTTGTGTAGCATATTTGTTTCTGTTCCGTTTGTTTGGTTCGGTTATGTTTCGAGTTTTAATAAAAGGTAGTTTTCTACCTTGAAATATAATAATGGATAACAAGATATATCTAGCAAGTATCTACAGAAAGAAGAACCAACCCTCTTTGTAAAGGACTTAAGCCGAAAAAAATAAGGATTATGTTAAAAAATTCGTTACACTGCATCTTGGATTGAACTTTTCTGATAAGTGTGCTTAGAAGCTCTGCTTCAGTATTGTTGTTGTCAGTATAAAGGATTGTTAAAGGTTTGTCGTTTTGACATTTTCATGTCAAGAGAAGTATAGCACTTATGAATAAAGGGGTAAGTGTCTAAGGCAATTGTGGTGCTGCGTCGGTGGAGGGGCTGGGGGGTTTGGTTTTATCAACTGAGTTGGTAATGTAAATTGGCGTGCGTTTTTCCTTCATCAGAACTTTGACGGAGGGCCAAACTAAGTACCCCTGTCTTCTCTCTAGCTAAGCTTTTTATTCTCTGGCCTGAAGCGGTGGGGTCAATAGAGGATGGAGGGGAACAGAGAAAAACGACTAACTAAGCCCTCTTTCATTTCTAAAGGAATAGGATAGGTCCTTCGGCACTTTTGTTCAGAACAGCACTTTATTTGTTTATATAAAAAACTTAGATGTTTTATGGGTCTTCCCACAGCAACTAAGTGATCACCTGAGGGAAAAGGTCAAGGAACAAGCGTCTGAAATAATAGAACTGCGGAAAATGCTGTTGAAGAAAGACGAAGAGCTGGACGCTAGGATGGATGAAGTTAGTGAACTGAGGCGGCAGCTTGAAGAGAGAGACAAGCTTATTGAACAGATGCTTGCTAATAAACAGCTCTGTACCACATGCAGCCGTAAGCTTGTCAATCAAGGGGAGGAGATGGATACAGGATGAAATTGCGCTGCACAGGGTAGAGGAGATGGGGAGAAATAATTTGTTTACAGCACTCCCTGTTGGAGACGAACAGGGGGAGGGAACGCACAAGTGACTTTCGTGTCCTCTCCATAGTCTTTATTCCAAGATTATCAGTGTGAATGCTGTCTCATTTGGAAAGTACTCCTATGACGAACAGCATTACTTAGCTTTTCAAATTTTATTTAATTTAGAAACGCATTTTCTCATTCAAGTTCATAGATAGGAATTGTGTAGGAAAATTTTCAACGCGGAAGGTAGAAGTTATTTTTGTACATAATATGAGAACTTCGGTCGTTTTTGAGTCAAATTTTAAATTGTAGAGAGACGAAATAATGCATTGTGCTATTGTAGGTGTTTTCAGTGTACCTTAATAGCCGTATTTATTCGATCAAGCGCCCCCTGTGGGTATGAAAATTGAATACGCGCCCACCTCGCATAAGCCCCCATTCTTAAGGTGCAAAACTTTAAGAGGTACCCAGGGCGCATAATTGAATAAATACGGTAATTATTACCTCTGGGATTTGAGGTATTGATCAGAGATGGACAACTTTTTCGTAAGATGGCTCAAAGGGCGTTGTTATTTTTAGACAACAATTATTTAATGTTAGCTTCCACCCTTGTTTTTGAAATTTCCCTCTGTTCTTTGACAAATCGTGATCATAGGTGACCATAACAACACAGCCCTTTGTAGAAAGATGAATATTGAAATGCTGTTTTCCGGGTGTATTAGGGATGTTTTTTAGGGGCTGTATTGTTACTATGGTTTCCTAATATGCCATAAAAGTGATTTAAAATAACGAACAATAATTGAAATTTTTGACTTTGTCTTTAATAGATCACATGGAGAAGTGTGACGATAACAAATAATAAAAGAAGGGGTGTTTAAAATTAACGAAACCAATTTGAGCCAAATAAATGAGAAATTGTCACTTTAAAAAACTGAATAGCGCGTATGTAAAAAATTGATAGGACTAGTTTATCACCAAGTAGAAACGCAAGGTAAATGTTGTTACTATGCTGTGGCTTTTTAAAAGTTTTAATTTATTTTACGATTTGTACATGCGGTTATAACGTATTAGTTTTTCGTATGGACCAAACGATAAGACTGTTGGTAAAGAATACGTCGATATGGAGTTGATTTGAACAAATGTTTCGCGATGTGATATTTTCGTTGCTAGGGTCACGTTAATAGAATTAACCAATCACATTTTAGGAACGTCCATTGATCCCAACTGAATTAAATTGTGCCATTCATTACTTAGGACTAAAGCAAGCACAGATCACAAAGAATAAAGATAGAAATCACCGCTCGTTTCTTGCAATCTGTTTAACAACGGCTGCACTGTACTTTTGACCCAAAGTAAAATCATCCTCGGAGTCTTCTGTCATTTCGACGACGATATTCACTTGTGATATCGAGGAATCTACCCTATTATATGTCTGCGCCAACGATCTCACCCCACCCTCGACAGGGGTTGTTTTTGTCTCGTAAAATAGAGTAGCCCGAGGTCTCCTTTCTTAAATTAACTCGTGGGTAGTTGTGAGGCAAAACAGCCATGGGTCATGAATTTCCGCCTGCCTTCTCTCAGAAGGTGTGGAAGAAGCGGTGGCGAGACGGTTCACGCTCTGGACTCCAGGTCGAGAGGTCTGGGTTCAAGACCAGGCTTGGTCATTGTGTTGAGTCTGAGCGAGACTGCATATTATTACAGTTTCCATCTCCACCCAGGAACACAGATGTTTACAATCGAACTGTCAGGATGGCTTGACGAAATACTGTAGCGGAGGTAACGTGGCGGTTGACCGGCATCCCATTTAGGAAAAGGCAAAGTTACCCTGGTCGCCCTATGCTACGGAAACCGTTATAAGCCTCAATAAATTGGGCCACAAGGCTCGAGTGAAGACCTTCCCTTTACCTACCAGAACTGACTTTGATTTTATTATAATATATTTTATTTTAGACCTTAGGCAAAAGTGACAATTGAATTATTTAGTCATAAATTGCAGCGAGGATCCAAGACAAGTTAAGAAAAAGATTCCAAATATTTTGAAGTTCCTCCGTCAGGTAATAGTTTATGAAGTATGAAGTATGAAGTATGAAATACATTGGTTATGAAACTGTGTTTTCACCCTATGCTTAAAGTTTAAAAGAGTAATATTAATCTAACGCTGGATTCAAAACAAGTGGAAGCGAATGCTGCTAAAAATTATTTCAGGCTCTATTACTTGTGCGGGTTGGTTAAAAGGCTTAGAACTATTGTGCTCCTCCTCTAACAAATATTAAAACAGTTCACAAATCACACGAACTATTGGACTCAACAGCCTCCTGAATCTTATCGGATTTTGATGGAATTTTCATGTCACGCCAGTTAGAGAGAAATCTGTGGTTCTGAGTGATCGATGCATATGTCTAAGGGCTCATTTTGAACTCGAAAACTAACCAGCAACCATGAATATTCTAAGCAACGAATTGTGATTTGCATTCACACCTAGTGTTTTTTTAAATTTTTTTTTCATTCCAGGTGTTTTTTTCACTTTGTTTTGATTTATCTCAATTTGTTCAGTGTTTTTTTCTGTTTTTACTTTTCAATTTCTTTAAAAAAAGAGTTACTGCTCTTTGATTTCTTTGATATTACCTCTATGATTTGGTAATTTAGTTAGCCACTAAACCACCGTCCATCCACTCATGTTAGTTACTAGCCATTACGTTAAGTAGTGGAGTACGTTAGAAGCACTACAAGTCGCATAAATCGTCTCTGAAATTTCAAAACGCGCTGTTAAATATTTATTTGATTTCAACCTGGAGGTAAGTAGACGAAAACGACCAGTTGGCTAGGTATTACAGTGTTTGGTTCGCTGGGTGGAACACTAGCGAAGGTTCTTCAGCTCTTGCAATTGATTTACTCCATGCACTTGCAATTGATTTACTCCATGATGTGATTTGAGTAATTGTTTGTTTCTGTGGTATACGTCATAGCTTTTTGGCCATTTCTCGCCTCATGTTTGATCTTGGATTGGCGCACTTTTTGACCTTAAAGTGCCTCTTTTCCGGGGGTAAACTGTGACAGTTAATTCTCTAGGTTTACTCATCTCTATGACGACTTTTCCACACATCAATAAATATTTGTAGGGTCACACCGCATGTATGTACAGCGGTTGTTTTATCTTACTCATGTAAGCAGCGTGCTCTTTCTGTTTCCAAACACGATTTCTTGGATAAAGATCGCCAACACTGACACCCACAAAATACCGATACTGGACACCTTTTCCCAAGAAAGGATCATTCCTCCGACAGAAAAACCCACCTCCTTGATAAGTCCTTGTAAGTACATAACATACGACTTGAAATTAAATTTGCTTTTCTTGCTTGATTTGTTCTGAACATTGCCACCGTTCATTGAGTTCATCGTGAAACCCGAATTCACGACGCAAGTCGAAGGCAGTCGTGACTCCGAAAAGGTATCTTCCTCGCCTCCCGTCTCCATATCGATCAATCGCAACGGGTTTTGAACTTCAAGGAGATTTCGATAATTAACGTTTGGCGACTGATCATCGATTGTCAGAGAGGGTCTGGATTCGCTTACTTGAGATTCCCGCCTTTGGGCTGCAAGTGACATGCGTCTGTCCTGGCGCAGAATAAGTCTCTTGCGCTTAAGAGTCTTCAGTAAATTTGTGCTGGCTATCAAAACGCTGCGTGAGCGGTTTACTCTCAGTTTCTTCATAGCTTCTTGGTATTCTTCCATATCTTCCTCCTCAGACTCGCTTTCGTCCGATTCTGGGTGCTCACCCCAGGATCTCACGACAGATGCCACGTAGGCCTGGTAATTCTCTGTAGCCCACGCTGCTAAGATCAACGGTGCTACACTCCAGATCGAGGGTACTAGTGCAAACCACAAGTAGATGGCTCGGCGATTGAAGAAAAGAAAGTTGTAGCCGTTGATGACAAATGACAGAACGGTGGTCAGGACGAGATTACACAACATGAACTATAAAACAGAAAACAATAAGTAACGGATTAAATGTCTGACAAAAAAAGCCGATTACCACGATAGAAGACATCGACGAACGGAGCTCTTGAATTTACCGCATTTTCGATTGTTTGCTGAATATTTTACACTTGCAGGAACACGAAAAACGATGGGGCTTTGCTGCGCGCGCACTTAACGCGCTGCGAGCTCCGCTATTAAATTCAGTGCCACATGCCGCTAATATGCTGGCTATAAGAAATAACCACGGTGGTTTCTGTGGATCAGTAACAATAAAAAAAAATCTCTGTTTGTAAGAGTTTGCAAATGCCATTTTGTTTGAATAATTCACCCTTACCAAACATGCATCTGATGATCTTCTAATAAACTGTGACCGATGTTCAAACAACTGCACTGCTTCACGGAAGGTCAGTCTGACATTCGGTTCACGAAACTCTCCCTCCACACCATCTGAAAACAAACATAACTATTTTTAATTCTCTTCCTTCTTCAAAGCAGAAAGAATTTCCTCGCTCACGTGTTAACAATGTCGTTGCTCTTGCTCACGAATGCCTCAGGTCAGTGACACACTTGGCTTTTTTTTTACGCCGATCACGGGGATTGGCAAAAATCACCAGATGTTCCCGGTGCGATTGCATGGCATGTCAGATATCGGTGATTCGCGTCGGCGAATAAAATCGCTATGTGTGTAACCGGCTTAAGTCGAGCGAATTTCCTCCTCCCTTTTATTTCCCTAAACCATGATGTAACTCGTAGTGGTGACCGTCTCTCATAATTGTTCATAAACTCTCTAATGAAATGTTCTTACTTGGGATTTTTTGACCATGGATTAACATTCTGAACTGAAACTCACCCAAATGAAGTTTTTGTAAATGCAGCTCACCCCCGCCGGGTTTTAAATAGATTATAATAAATGGGGAATTAACGCTTTTCCATTCATTCGTCAACCTGACAGAGTGGGGCGAAATGCGAGTGACGTGTCAGCAGCTGATTGGCGAAACCAAACGCATGTGAAAAATTATCGTAAGTTTATATGTGTGTGGTCAACAACTTTTCTCAGGGCTGGAAACCCTTGTAAAACTGGAAATTTGGGCTGGAAATCCTTGTTAAATACCGCAGTTTTTGTAATAAACATCCTTCCCACACCTTTGAGTGAAAGTTGAAGGTGCTAGAAATACCTGAATCTTACAATAATTTAATAATAATAATTAATTTATTACTTATATAGCGCAAAATACATGTGAATATGATCTAATGCGCTATCGGAAAGCGTTTTTTTCACTCTTACCTCTGAATTCTTTCATGGAGGCTCCAGTGACATACATAGTGAACAGGATGATAACAAGGAACAATATATAGCCATACAGTACGTGAAGTAAACTAAGCACTCTTACGATGTTGAGCAGGACTGATAACCAGGGCTTTCCTATCTCAAGCTGTACGGCGTTGTCGATGAAATAACACACGTATTGACCACATGCCGCCAATATGCTGGCTACGGGCAATAACCACGGCAGTTTCTGGGGATTGGCAAACATTGAGTTACAAATCAAAGTAAATACTAGTTAAAGAGTAAACGTCAGTTTGATATCGGTTGCCATTTCATGAATCTGAAAAGCTGCTTATTCATCTTATCTGTTTTGCAATAATTATCTTTTAAAAGATCCTAGACTGACTTGGGAATTATTATCTTTGAAGACCATCAGCCCAGTTTTTGATCTCTGTTAAATGTTTTTTGTTTATTTCTATTCCACTGTTATCTTTCTTTAGCGGCGGAGGGGCTGAATTTTTTTGGAGTCTCCCTTAGCGAGCTAAACAACAGAAAAGGTACATTTTTTTACAAATTGGTTCACTGTGCTGCTCATGAGAGTTTCCAAAGCCTTAATCATACGGTTCCATTAACTGCGCAAAGAACTAGCGACTCTAGTTTGTAGCTGTTTAGTGCTAATGAGTCCATTTACTTTGACTTGATTAGTTTTCAACTGGTAATGAGAATAGTTTAACACCCAAAGGGTAATATTTGGCGCTATTACTACTAAGTAAAACGCAGTAAAACGCTGCTCGGCTGTCACGTTTGCCATAAAATTCCTTTGATCCTGTCAGTAATTAACAGATTGGGGTGAATCAAATAATGATGCTTAATTAAATGGCTATGTTCAAGCTTTGTTATTCTTTTCGCTTTAGCCCTGAGAGGAATAGAACGGATTTAAATTTCATCTGATTCAAAACCGATGAAAGTTTAGCTAAATAAGTCTTCTGGTATCCTTATCTGAAATTCAATGTTTCATCCACATCTTCCAAAGAAAAATTGTTATCTTTTTTTACAGGATAAATCATTTTACAGCAAAAGACAATACCTGAACAAGTTGAAAGTTATGACGCAAGAAGTAGATACGAACCTAGAACTATCTTTAATTATTATTTGCAAACAAATATGAAAGCATTACTCAGAAACGCCTAGGATATCGTTATTGTTTTTCGGATATAGAGTGAATGTGTTTTTAATTTCCGTAGAGGTGGGAATGGTAATAATTACAACTTTGAAAGCTATGCAATCCAAGGAGAATGATCTGTGCACACTTTGGCACAAAAAACCCATAACTATTATTCCTTGTCGTCATTTGCAAATGCACGGATTGTACCCAAAAACTAGTTTTCCCAAAAGACCTTTAGACAACGTTATAGTCTGTTTCCCTGATAAGTTGATGAGGTTTTATTTAAATAATAGATACAAGTGCTACTGAAGAGAACTGTTGATTACTAAAACGTTATCAAACCCGTTAACATTTTCTCAATTGCAGCGAAAGATTTTTCTGGAGAAATATTAAATAAATGTTGAATAAAAAGTTCAGAGTGAAGGTGCATAACTGCTGTGTCCTTGGCATCGAGCAGTAGAAATGCAAGTGATTTCTGGAAGGTTTTCTCATCTGGAAGGAATCTCCTCATTAAGATGGGTTGAAAATATTGAAAATCAGTTGAAAAAAAAATTTACCCCGAAATAAAAACTGAAGTCCAAGTTTCAAATTCTGTTTAAGAAGAGGGTCATATTTTCTACATGTTTAGAAATCTTGATCATAGAATCAAAGTTTAAAAAAAAGATTTAAAGAATAAAATGTAATCCCTACGTGGGTTTCTTGAAATTCTCAGTTGGGTTAGATTCGAGATAGCCATCAGTGGCCGTTTTAAGGAAATTATACAAACTTGCTGATTGAATATACAACATTATTGAAAAGATTCACGCTGACATGTTTCTAATACAATGCATAACAATCTCTCTGAATTTATATGAGTGCTTTAAGTCGATCCATGATTTATTTCAATCTTTCTTAAAATTCAGCGGCTCATAGTGAAATTTTTGAGAATAAATATTTCTGATACTCTGGTAGACTTACTCGGAAAAAAAAAATCCCTTTTTTTAAATTTTTGTACCGGGCTTCAATATATCATTTTTCACGGTAATAACAATTCATTTCGTGCATTGGAGAAGTGCTTTGTTTTGGCGAAATACAGAGCGGGCAAATAGAGCTGCTCTGAAGAGGCAGTTATTTATTTAAAGTATTGAGAAGGGTTATTCAAAGCAAGCTGCTTCAGACGTACAAATCAAGATTGTGTAAATATTCTCTTTACTTCTTGATGCTCATAAATTTTGATGACGAATGCACGCTTAGCAAAAACCGTTTGTTTGGAGATCGTATTTAGATGGCAAGATCCAATTTATGATTTTCTCTTTTTTGTAATGCTGTTTTGTCATCGGGCCAAATGATACACGATGTTTCAAGCGCAGACCTAGTGGAGTTTCAATTTACAAGATTTTGAAATGTTTATTTTTCATTGCACCGACTTTAGAGACACATGACGTTAATAAAAGCAATAGTGTTAGCATCTATTGTTGCGAGGGTTTTTGCAACTATGAATATTCAGCTAAAGAATTTAAATGTTTCACCTTACTCACCCAAAGGTTTTGATATTCTTCGCCACAAAACTCAATAAAGATATTCTCAATTGTGATATAATTTGACGGAAATATCGGGAATTCACTGACTTATCTTATTGTTATTGAAATGAGAGTTGTTTGAAGAGGACTTTTTGTGAAGAAAATAGATAATTCTCTATCTAACAGCTGCCTAGTACAATTTTATTGAGAACAAACTCCATAGTAGAATAGCTGATGGCGAGCGATGGCCATTGACAGATGAAATGATTCAGCCTCTTCAAAAGCTTTCAAAGGGTTTCAAAGCATTTCAGAGCTTTTTTATTATAATAGAATTTATTACGAATAATACCAATCAATATCTTTAATAACCTACGTTTAGTAACAAGAACAAATCAAGTAAATTTATGACGGTCAAATTTGTGGAAAGCAAAATGGCTAAGTTACGGAAAACGAGTTTTCATCTCGGCAAATATTACCATGCTTCCATTGAATTAAAAGGCAGGTTTTGGCGTTTGAATAGCGCGCTTCACGAAATTCCGTAAAAAAAAAAGTGCAAAGCAGGCTAAAAGCCTCTCACGAAAAAAATGTAAACTAGCCGATGACAGAGTCATTAAAAAGTCAAGTGGTGTCAGTCATTTTGCATTTCTAAATGTAATTTTTTTGGAACCGCACTTGATGCGCGTCAGAGAAAAAAACATAACATTTGATGGGATGTTTAAGACATGGCTGAATAGAAAATAAATTAGTAAGTGTTGGAAAAATATAATTGACTTACTGCCGCGATGCCACGCGCCTTTTCCAACGTCTCGGAAAAATTTCCATCCACGTTCAAAATCTCCAGTCCATCTTCCAGCCATGGAAGTGTATCTCGGACTAAAAAGTATGTTCCCGAACTGAACGAAATGAAGAACAACCCTATTGCTGTAGCCCACGCCCAACCAAAAATATGAGCAGCTTCGTAAAAGTCAAGCGAAAAGTGGCAGACTAAATTCACGACCCAAAGTATCAGCCCCAACGTGCCGAGGATCGGATGATGTTTGCTCTTGTGTCCGATAAAAGCTGTCAGAACGTGGATTGGCCGAAGTATTTTATCCACAATTTCGCGGTCGAGAATCACAGTTTGTTTCGTATTCCTGATGGCCATCTTCTTCAGCGTTCTAAAGTAACGAACTATTGCAGATAGCCTTGATTTTTCCGACATGATGCACGCGGGTTGTTTAAATCGCTTCTCTCGGATGTGAGCGAACCTTTCTGAAAAACTCTAATTGATGAAAGCTGTAGGAACTGAATTGGAGTCATTTGTCCTGCAAATAACAAACAAATGAAGATCCTTTTTGAATAAATTCATCTTTAACGACGCCTTTGCGTAGCTAAATGTGTTTTTAGCACGCGAAGTACAGCGCAGCACGTATTTCTTTTCTTGTTGTTTGTGCCGAGCGCTTCGTTTACGACTAGCTTTTAAAGCACTCAATAAAATCTCACTTTTACAGGTGTACAAACAGAACTTAACGAGCCAACTGTCTAAGACACTTTCTCTAGGGCACTTTAGCAGTGACTTACTATATCTAACTAAAGCGGTTGCCGTGGGCATTGTGAACTGATCGTAAATATGCATATAGCAACAAGACTCTAGTTTTGTTCAGTTACACGATAATCGAGTGAAATTGATCACACATCCCGTGTCAGTAACATAATCTTTTCTATCATTTTACGAAGGAGGCCCTCGAGATACGAATGAAGCAATTAAATATTGTCAAACAACCACTGATCATTGCCATTTAAAAATTGCGCGCTTTTCCTGTGCGACTGAAAATTTCAGATTCGTATTGTTGTTGTTTGACATAAGCGTTCAGTTCACATCAATCTGAGTTTAAAAATTTCGGGGTACGAAATTTCAAACAGAAAATTTCGGACAATTTTACCTTATCTTTTTTTTTCTCTTTCCGAAAGCGGTGATTTCTCTTTAATCAGATCTATATCACTTGCCTATACATCTTAAGATAAGGACTGATATAAAGTATCATAATTTCGTACCTGCCTGCGTTTTTAACGATAATTTTTGTTAGAGGAAAACTCTAGTTTTAACCAATTCTTTCAAAAGTGAAATTCACGTCTTCATTCTCGGTAAGATGAAGTGTCGTACGCTCGATTGCTTTGCAGCTGCCTTCCCTTCTTTGTTATAGTCTCATTTCGTAGCATAATAAAAATAGAATTAAGCTACCGTAAATCAGTAAAAACCCCCGCCGACATTTTCTATAGAATCGACAAGAATCATTTTTCCGTCGCTAAATTCGCCCGCCAGGTGGAGAACCGGCACCCAGTATTGCTTCCTGAAATCTTACCAGTACAAAATTACCGAAAACAAAAAATTAATAAAAATTAAAAAAAAAACAGAGAAAAAAAATGAGACACGTTTTAAGAAAGATTTTCTCGCCCATTTTACCTTAAAAACGTGCGCATTCTCGATTGATGATACTCGTACATTTGAGTTGTTTGAGGTCAAAATATTAAACAAAATCAAACATCTTCAGTAGAACTTCGTCAAGGATCCATTCAACCGGCAAGCGAGCTATTGATGTCACCGGGCCATCTCAAATTTAATTGGTCAACGCAGGCTCTTCTTGTTAAGATCTTAAGTAATAGGTGCTTTTATTAAATTGATATACTCCACGTTCAGGCAACTTGTTCTTGTTTCAATTCATTATCTGTGATTTTTAGCACATTTTACGCCTAAATGCAAACTTCTAATGACTTCACTGACTCGTACCAGCTGCTATCTTTACGATGTCTTTGGCAAGGAGGTTTTTACCACCTCCGCAACAATACCTTAAATGAACATCTTTAAGTCTTATTGTATAAGTACCGTGGTTTGCATTCAAAGAGGCAAGATGGAAGAATTTGTTTACTCTATTTCTGAGAAATTATATCTTACTTCTTTGTAAAATAGCGGAAAAGATTATTCTTTGAGAACGACAGCAAACATAGAAACTTGCAATACTCAACAGAACGCCAAAAAATATATGGATCCGTTTTGATTCAAATCGCTTTCTTATGCCTGCGGGTAGTGCTCGAGGTTTCAGTATTCAATAGCTAGTTCAGTTTTCAAACTACAATTGTGATATTTTCGCGTTCAATAGGTTTTCAATTTTGCCGTCGTTCATCGGTTGCCTTGGTAGCGAAGGTCCCATGAAATAAGTACACGGCTGTTCAGCCGGAGTAAGTTAATGAGTTACACTGTTCAAAGAAGTCTTTTCAAATCTTTTGATATCCAAAACATAAATATCAGAGCTCAAAAAACTTACCATTGTATTTTATCTGATATGGATTGAAAAAAACTTCTCCCATTGAAAAACAATAACAACATCACAAAGAAAAGGTCTCGGTGATGGAAAGTAAAATTAGCATTAACAGCTATGCACGTTTTCCAACAAAAAACATTTTATAGAAGACGAATCATAATTCCTAATTTCGATGGATGTTTATCTTAATTATCGTTCAGACTGCTGCAGGTGAGAACGGAGATGTAATTGAAGAAAAACATGACAAACGAAAAGAACTGGACGGTAAAACAGTGTAAAGGCTGATTCCAAATGTACCAAAGGCGCTCGTTTTAAATTCGAATTGTTTACCAGAAACAATCAGTTCATAGCAACTTTTTAGTTTCTTGACCTATATGAAACTTCAAAAGCAAAATTGCTCTAAATTTATGTAAATTACTGAGGGGTGCACCTCGGAATTTGGCCGGCTGTTTGCTTTTGTTTTCCTTTTATTTTTCTGAGCGAAAATTTTATGTCTTAGCTCTGAGGATTTAAATTTTCATCAACAAACGATGAGAGTCAAATAAAGCCTTGACCCTGGCAGGTAAGATGCAATTTCAACAGCATGAAGCCTGTAAAATAACCAGGGTTCGATAGGATGGGAGGAACTATGAGAGAATAAACAAGAACATTTTCCTAACTTTAAATTTGTAGACGGGTATGCCACAAGAAGAAATTGAAAATGAATAGTGTAGAAATATCTTGGTCTTTTTCTGCTTTACTGCGGTATTTCCAACGGAGTTAAATGATTTCTTTTACGATGTTGATGTTATGATTTACATTCCAACCGCACTTTCGAGATAAATTTAACGACTTCAGTGTTTTGCTACCTGCCGATGTATATTGCGATTTCCTCTACGTAGAAGCATTGTATCCTGTTCACTAGCAGTGTGCACACGTTAGTCGGAGCGATAACAAAACTGCGGCTTGATTTTGCATACAGTCATGAGAGGCCATTATTTCTCTTCCTATATAATAATTCGTTGCCCATCGTTTCCCTTTGGTTTGATAGGGATAGTGAGGTGGGGGTAAACTGATTTGGTTTGGGTATTTCTACTCTAGCAATTATAGCTTTACTTTTGGTGTAAATTTGCGATTTTTACCTCCGCTCTAGAATATTTTTTTCCAGTTTTAAAAGTCTATTTGAAGAATTTCTTTTAAACCAGACTCTCAGAGTAAAAATTCTTTGTTTCATAAAGCGCATCAGTAGTTTTTTTCTTCTTTTTTATTTTTCCAATTGACGGGTCATACGGTGCTTATTTTCGTATCATAGTTCAATGTTTTCAATCAGTACGTTTTTAAGGTGTTGAAAAGATTATGTTTAGTATTCGGTCAAAAGTCAGAGTAATAAGAAAGATAAAAAAACTGCCAGGAGTGTTTGAAGAATGTAGTACGATGTTTTGTTAACCTGTAATTGAAGTCTTTTCAACGAAAGGAAACGAATGGAACTTAGAAGGTTCATTGACGCAAGCATAGAAAGATAGCTTGTCAATCAGGGTCTAAATTTAGAATTCGTCGTTAATAATTAATAAACGAATTCAAGAACGCATACGCAATCCTACAAGAAATTTTGTGTGGGCAGATTCTCTTCCATCAAGGTGTTTAACAAGGTTCAGCATAAAAAGATTTTTCCTTCGATTGCCTTGGATGTTGTTTACCTTTTTATAAGCGCAGGGCACTTTACTCACCAAGAATGTTGTGAGTTTGTTCTTACGGAAGTTAACCGTTACAGCTGATTTAGAAACTTGAATTTCCAAGGAAAACGAAAAAAAATAAGTAATCACGTAAAGAAATCGAGCAAACAGACTGATTCAAACGGAAAACTGTCTGAATAGTGATTCAACTGCAGTAGAACCCTGCCAACTCGAACTCCGGAGGGAAACGTTTGAGGTTATTGCGGGGGTTCGAATTATCGGTGTTGGTGTTGAATTTCAGTTATTCTGTTAACAATTAATAAGGAATTACCATTTTTGCACGATCAACAGTCATTTTCGTACATTTAGTTTGTTTTATAAGAGCTTTTTGATGAGAATATTTAGTATCAGGGTAAATTTGAGAATAAATTACCATAATTCTCGTGACTGAATTCTTCCACGAGTTGAAAATGATCATGCGTGATTACAGACATAAATCCACTATTAACTGGCAGTTTTTGCACTTCAGTGATGAAAAAGTTAGAACAAAAATATTGTGCAATCGAATCTGTATTTGAAGCCATTAGCTCAGGTTTAAATTCAGGTGCCGCTAGTGCAACATTAGCGCACTTCTCCAGGTTTGGAGTTGTGCATCAGAATTGGAAACTGAAGGGAGGTGAAGAAATTTTGCTCTTCAAGTTTCTTCAAATCTCTTTACGATATTACAATTTGAGCTGAGTTAAACACGTACTCAACTTTTTACGGGTAACATCTTGGTTATTCACTGAATAACAACGTCCATCACTCAGAATCACTGGGGTTAAAAGTTACCATCTTCATTTGCATTATCATGTTCTTACCTTGGATAAGCTGTACACAGAGTTAACAGTTCGTAACTCCCTGTTTTAACTATACAGTGATCTCTAGGATAAAATCGAAACTGTTTCTCTGCCGCCAACTCTCACTAAAACATTGTATAGATCTTGACGCAGATGACTACAGCTGGTAAAGATATGTCATAAAATTTTTTTGAAAGCTGATGGAAAAGAAAATTAATATAGAGTTATAGCATAAATTGCATGACTTAGTAATCGCTTTATCAAAGAACTTAGGTAATCATCGATCTTTTGTTGAAAATTATAACCATCCGTTTGTTAGATGTGCCTCCGTTAGAGATTATTATCAAAGCGCGAGCATCGCTGGCGATATGCAACTGAACTTTCCACAACATCATAAAAATTCAATTCTAAATTTCTGATGAGTTATAAGGGTTAAAGCTGTAAGCTGCTTTTCGATTTCATCTCATTATCTTGCAACCATCCGTTTGTTAAATGTACCCCCGTAAAAGACCAT